GAAATTCATGTGTATTCGACCATCCATCTGTTTGTTATCTTAGGTCTTAGCACTGTATTTATTTAACAATGCCTTTGCGATTATCATAAGAGCTATGTAATTCTGCGAACTGCCACAGTTCCTCTTATCCTATTTGCAGATTAACCCTTTCCAATGTCCTCTCAAGATCTGACGGAACAATTCACTTCCTGTTAAGTCATTTATCTGTCATCAGTGACACTGATACAGGATTTAATGTATAAATCATCACTATAGCATTAATTTGTGAATGTTTTACATACTTCCACAGATAACAGCAAATGGATGAATCTGTAATATTCAAATGCTCAGGTGTTTAGTGTCTAAAACATGCCTTCAAATACCTGACAACTTGAGTCTTGCAGATGAGAACCAGTCTCAACTTGTTTGCAGTATTAGAGTGCTGGGGGCCTCAAATTTAATCTTAGGTTTGGGTTGTTCTGTATTGTATGCGAAGCATGTACTCTGCTGAAGGGTGAAGTCTGTGGTTTTCATCTGATAGCTATGGCGACACATCTGATCTTCATTGCTGCACCTACTCCTATTTCACCTCCACAGGCACTGATTTCATCTTTCATCTCATCTATAAACTAGTATACTTTAATACCCACAGAGGCCTTGCCTGGCTAATCCTCAGGCAGGTGGTCACCAAATACCCAGCAACCAGTCAATCATCGAGCAGCTGCCACACAGCAAAGCCCACCCCCTAATGAGTACATATACATGTGGGTGCACTCGTGCATATATACATACACATAAACATATCAATATAAACTGAATTTTTATGATATTGCTCCTAAATTGGCAGTATTCTGCATGCTATGCAGCACAGTATTAACAACTTTAGAACTACAGTATGCCCACACAGAGTATAAAGCCCCCTGACCTATTCACATTTAAATGACAGGAAAACATGTTAAATATTTTAATAAAATATGATCTTCATAGGTGCCCAAGTGTGTGAGAAAGGCTTAAAATATAAAAGTTTTTCTTTTTTAAACTACTACTACTGCTGCTGCTACTTTTCCAAAATTCATGGTGTTTTTGATATGAAAGGATGATTATCATACTGTAAGTGACCACTGACAAATAACCAATACTGTCCCATCACAACATGCTTTAGAAATAATCCAAAATCAGCACAATCAGACATGTGCTGTCCATTCTGCCAGCTGGCCTGTGTAAAAAAAATCTATATTCTCTAATGTTAGCACTATTCTTACAACTCACTGCCCATCATAGGGCCACCTGGCATGCTTACAGAGGGACACTATAGACTGCTTATGCTGGAGGACTCAGAAGTTCAGATGGGTGCGAGTTGTGAATAATCTAACAGAAAAGCTAACAGGTTAAGTGTCTGTGCTGTTTGCTGTGACAGAGTGGTTTCATGAAATGTTATGGTGTCACTATGAAGAATTCAGACGGCCTAGAAATAATAAATGGGTATGTATGGGTGATTCAAGTTGTGTTTTATTGCTAGTAAACTAAAAAAAGAGCTCAAAACGTGTTTGAATACTTACTCGAGATCCTTTCCTGACCACATACACAATACAGGATATAGCACATTATATATATATATATATATATATATATATATATATATATATATAGATAACAAAAAAAAATAATGTCATCCCTCAGTTTGTGTTTGATAGTTCACTTCATTAAAAGTCTTCATTAAAAGACATTATGGATGGTTTAAATGTGCACTTGTACTTTTGTTAAAATGTTTATATTAATTATTTAGTACAAATTACAATTACATTACTTGGAGTCAAATTACAGAGGGAGGAAATAAATTACTT